GGGGGGGGGTGAGACATCTATTGTCTGCCACATAAAATGCTGTTTTAACACCTCGCTGGGCTGATAATAACACCTCCTAGACTCCAATTATGCATATGCAATTAACACCTGGTTGTGATTAACAGATTATGTGGATTGGAGCAACATTCACCATATTTATTCCCAGATAATTTTTTGTACAAGTCATTCTGAATTGAGAAAGCTGGTTGGATGACCAGTGAAACGTCTTCAAGAAAAATACAGCAAGTCCAGTTGCCTTGACTTATTTTTTACAGATTTTTATACTATTCTCTAAATGTACTGAGGAAAAAATATGCTTTGTGAGTTTGCGTATTGTGTGTAAATTGCTATTATAAATTTCCACCCTTTTACACTGCCTTACAAGCAAACAAACATACATACTAACAAAAATCACATGGTATTATTTTTTAGTTATTTTTTAAGGCATAAGGAAGGGAAAAATTAAATCAGCATGCCAACAACCATGTAAAACTGAATTAAGTATGTTGGGTAGAGTTGCCTTTCAAGAATATGATTCCATAATTACACAGAAAGCATTGAATATTGGCATAATGTCATGCAAAATATTGCTGGAACAGTTTGCAGAGGTTACATGTCATATAATGAATTATGTCACTTGTGAAAAATATTAAGTGAACACTGTTCTTTTAGAATCAGAATTAATTAGTAATCATATGTACTTTTTTAAGGTGCTTCATTTCTTTGTTGGTTTCGGAGCGCTACTGAGTCCTTTGATAGTAGATCCATTCCTTTCAGACACCAACTGCATCCAGTCTAATTACACCTTGAATGGGAGTACAAATCTGGAACACATCAGGAACTCAATCGTGCCTCATCATCCAGGGAATGTGTCGCATTATGTTCTTCCACTTTATGGGCCAGCACTAACAAATGTGGGCTATGCATTTTGGATTATGGCTTCCATCAATGTGAGTAATCAATTCTCTCTTTATCTAGGCATCTGAGTGACTGCATAACATAGCCAGTATTATTAATATTATAATAATACAGGATTTATATAACGCCAACAGTTTGCACAGAAGTGTGGTTAAATATATGTTAAAAAGTGGGGAATGCTGTGATATAACTATTTTTTTTAAACAAAAGGAGATTACATCCCATATATTAGGGCAGTTGTCAGCACAGAAAGAGACCATATATTATATAATAAGGACACCACAATCCGCAACGCCCAACAAAATATATAAACCTTATTACAATTTTCTTTTGCTAGATTAATAAATACTATGTATACATCCACCCCCATAGCACTTCTGCCTTGTAGCACTGGGATTCCCTGGTTTGAATCCTGGCAAGGTCACTATCTAGAATGAGTTTGCATGTTCTCACTGTGCTTGCGTGGGTTGCCTCCAAGTTTTCCTCCCACACTCCAAAGACATGCTGGGAGGTTACTGGGCTCCTGCCTAAATTGGCCCTCATATGTATGCAAGTGAGATAAGAGACCTTAGATTGTAAGTTTCTACAAGGCAAGGACTGATGTGAATGTGCGCTGCATAATTTGTCCGTGCTATATAAAAACCAATAATAAATAATAAGGTTGACAACGTTGTCTAGAAAATCCGCCCAAGCAATTGGTGTAAATGTGGATGTATAGGTACTGTTTATTGCATTTGCCAAAACTTTTTTCTAGGAATAAAGTTTATATATTTTGTTGAGATATGCGGCTTGTATAGTGTTCTTGTTCACAGTTTTCTTTCCCTATGTTTATATAACCAGAAGTATACTTATTCACAAATTTCCTGTAGGCCCCTTCATATTCATTGTGGTAAAATGTGCAGCGATGTACTGCATGTCATACGGTGCATTTTTATGCATGTTAACGCATGACCAGCAATAAGGAGTCCCTAAATTTATTTTCTGAATATAACACCACCTTTCTGACAAATTGTATATTGTCTTGTTTACCTCCAGCTTCCAGTACCTATTGCAGTTTTCATTCTGATGTACAAGGCGGGCATGGTGCCTGGCTGTGAGGACAGGAATGGGACTTTACTCTCTGCAGATGAGCTAGCAATGGAGACTCATAAGGGGCACCAGACAAGTGACAGCCAAATAACAGAAACACAGAAAGTGCAAAGTGGTAAGGGCAAGAACTTTCATTACAGCTGGTGTAGCAGCACGAAACAGAACACACCGAATGATGCAGACAGAATCACCTTTTAATGAATAAAAAATGGATGAAGTGGCATGGGCCCTAAAACATGTTAGTGGAAGTACTCAACTTTTTTCCAGGGTACTAATCTGGTCCACTTTTACAAACTTTGGAGACATGCTTGTACATATATATATCCCATGGGTCGTGCATGTTCCTCTCTAAAGATTACAATACCTGCTCTCATCTATCCTGTTGCCAATTACCTAGTGATAGGGTTTGTCAGCATCCTGTTGGTGTGACCCGACGTTCCATTGGGAGCTTACCTGTTGTAATGCCCTTATCAACTTATCTTAATGTAAGTTCAATTTATATTTTATAAGAGGTGTTTTTATCTGCATGATCCAGACCTCTATGTTTTGTGTTTCTATTTTTACATGTTTATATGGTCTCTGGATATACTGTATACAGAGATATCTGATAATACAACAAAGATCAGCAGAGTTCATTTGGTTCCAGTGAAGATTAGTTAATTTATTGATTTCAGTACTAGTGTTTTTATGCTTATACGATTCACAACTTTATTTCCTTATAATTATACTTATTATAAAATCATATTCAAAGCACAGGTCTGCAGTAAAAATATATCTGTGTTTGTATGGTGTACATGTATGGTGGGAATAAAGGAATTCTAACCAGGCCTGTATTTAGACATAATGCTGTCCAAAGCCCACCTGATAGATGATGCCCAAGCTCTGCCCCTGTTGTCATGTGATTACATTGGTAAAAACTAATGCACAAATTCACATTCAAAGGTAGCATTTTCTCTGCATAGCATAATTACTTTTCCACTTGGTAGGACAGCAAACAAGGGAAAGGAGAGATTATTTCATTTTTGCTGAACTCTTAAAGTAAAATTAAACCTTATTTTTTGTTGCATATACAAAAATATTGTCACCCCTGCATTTCTGTCAGATAATGCACCACTTTGCGAAGAATATTGTTGGAATTACAAATGTTTAGGTATTCTCATGTTTATTTCTTTTGTTTGTATTGGTATGACACAAAAAAGTGGAGGAAAAAAAAAAGCACCTTTCTGCACAAAGTGGTGCATTATCTGACAGAAATGCAGGGGTGCCAATATTTTTGTCCATGACTGTATCCACTGCTAGAAAATCAGAAGTAAGTACACCGGATAGTATGCCGGTAAATAAGTAGGGCGCACAAGAGCAGACCCGATAAAGGCAAAATGAGAGAACAAGAATAAGAAAGGTACATCACATTTATGAGCCTTAATGGGGAACCATCTGTACTTCAGAGAGGATGGAGAATGTCAATGGATCAACCAATATAGCTAAGAAAAAAAGAACAAAAAAACAAAACAAAAACAACCTGTACTATATGCATAGAGTACGGCAACTGATCTGGATATATTTTCGTATAAGATTAGAAACACCAGAGGAGAATCAAAGCGGGAGAATCAAGATAGAAGAGAGACCACAGAAGAATACAAGCAGAGAAGAGAGAAAAGGAAAGAAGAGGAGGGGAGGGACCCTGGGAGGGTTATGTCACAACAAGAAGGGTGACAGGCATGACAAAGCATCGAAAGTAGGAGGCCAAATATCTAAGATGGACATAAATAAGCAACTTATCAGAGTATTAAATTATAAGAATGCTCGGAGGTCATCAGAGATGGAGAAATGCAGCCACACATTCCACTCATTTCACAACCAAAACTCAGACCAAATGTGGGACTGCTTCAGGAACACATTACATATTGCCATTTCAAAGTGTATACCATTGGGTAACAAAAACAAAAGATCAAAGACTAAACCGATATGGCTAAATAAAACTGTAAAACTACATGTTAAGGCAAAGAGAATGGCAGTTATAAAATATAAGATGGAAGGGACGGCATTGGCGTTCCTTAAATACAAGGAATGTAACAAAAAATGCAAACTAGTAATCCGGGAAGCTAAAATAGAATGCGAAAAAGCATATCGCTATTCCCTAAGAATGAGATGATGTGTGGACCTATATGGGCTGGATTTAATGGACGTATGTCTTTATTCAACCCCAAATACTATGTAACACTGAGTCATAAATTTGGCGAGATTGTGTCAGAGGCTAGAAGTTCTTCCACATGATGTCATTGACATGACTGACCCAAAGATAAAGTGGAGGAGTGGTGGCCTTTTTCCAAAAAATAGGGATGAGTTGGTGGGCTGCAGCCAAAAGATGTTTCAATAAGAGAGATTTTTAGGTTTTCCTTGGACCCTGGCAAAAGGGCTATTTCAGGCAAAGTTTGCAAATCGTCCCCGTATATATAATTATAAATTGCAAAGATTTTCTGCCAATAGGGGGAGATCAAAGAACCATCCCACCATATATGGAAATAGGTGCTACTTACCTCATTGCATCTCAAACATATAGCCGAAGAGTTAGGGAAGATCTGATGAATGGAAACTGGATCTTTATACAATCTGGTGACAATTTTATAATTCTTTTCCTGGGCATATGATGAGACTGAAGAAATAAATGGTGTCCCAGTCTGAATCCATCAATATTCTACCTAGATCAATATGCCAATGAGCTTGAAAAGCAATCGGTTGCAAGTGCAAGGTGTCTCTCAACATCACATATATCACAGATAGTGCATGGCGTTGTGGTTCAGATGAAGCAATCATGCGTTCAAAAGGGGTTAGGGGTCTATGGATTTGTCCAGAATCGGCAAAGGTTTTGCAGAAACTGGACAGTTGAAAATCCAAGAGCCCATGGGTTGTGATAGCTGATAGGCCACAATTATGGGTCACATATCGTCCAGTAGAAAGAGCAATAAAATCCCTAGCCATGGGCTCATCGTTTCATAGGCAGAGACTGGTTGTCAAATAACGCAGTTAGAGGACTAGGTAACGCCAATAGATTGTGTCTGTCTCGTAGGGCATGCCAAACTCGCAGCGTAGTGAGAGGGGAAGGCTGAAAGGGTGCATCCGAGTTAAGGGGGGAGGCCCAGGGGAGAGCGCGAAGGTCAAGTGGGCATAAGTCTCTTTCGATAAGAATGGAGGATTTGCCAAGCGTAGGGGAAGAGGGGAACCAGTCCAACATGCAAGCTAAGAGCGTAGCACTGTGCTATAGGTCAAAATCAGGTAGCCCCATGCGTCCGTACGTTTTGTGTCTACATAGGGTGTTATAGCGAAGACAGGCATATCTTCTATTCCAAATAAATCCAAATGTTGGAGAAGAGTAGAGGGACGTAATTTTAGAGACAAGGTTAGGGCCAAGACCTATTTGGAGAAAGGAAAGATGAAGGAAGCGCCAATTGACCCTGTCGAAGGCCTTTTCAGCGTCAATCGATAACAGGCAGACCTGGGTTTTATCTATGATCTATGAGATCAAATGAATTGTTTTGGTGGTAATGTCCCTGGCTTCACGGCCAGGAACCAATCCAACTTGTTCAGTGTCAATAATGGAGGGCAAGGAGAGAGAGAGGCGTAGGGCAAAAGTTTTAGAGAACAGTTTGAGATCGACATTAAGTAAAGAAATTGGTCTGCAGTTGTTACGTAGGGAGGAGTCTTTGCCTGGTTTGGGGATGATACATACATTAGCCTCCAGCATTTCGGAAGGAAAAGGAAGGGAGTCGTCTACAGAATTAAATATGCGAGTCAGGACAGGAGCAAGAAGATCAGCGAATGAAATTCTTCGGCTATGGCAGATGTGGTGTTGACCTTGGTAGAACGACGGGTGGAGATGAAGGGGATGAAAGAGCGTGGGGGCCGAGGATGTATGGTATTGGCAAGATGGCGACCACATTTATTAGCCAACTCACAACATAGCTTGCATGCCCTATCTCAAGCTATATGGGAACGAGAGTCCAACAGAGAGAGAAGTTCCCGCCTAGCGCTGGAGAGCTCAACAAAGGTAGAGAGAGAATAGAGTCCGAGTTATATAGACCCTCAAGAGCAGATATACTGTAGATGTCAGCAATTCTGTAATGCGGGATGAGCGAGCTCTTTTTAGGCTAGAACCATGTTTGATGCAAAGGGTGGCATTAAGGCGCCAAGAAAAGGGTGTACGTTCATTAACCGCCTGCCGTCCGCCCGTTGTGAAAAAACGGACGGACGGCAAACTCACATGGGCAGCGATAAAAGCTTTTATAGCGTCGCCTATGCGCAATTTTGGGTATTGTAGTCTGTTGAGGTTTCGGGTGCGCGCGCAATTTTAAAGGCTCGACACGTTTGGTGTCTTTTTACCCAACGTGACCCCGCCTTTTATATTTTACCAAAAAATTGGGTAATAATAAATGTTTTAGAATTTGATATAAGGGGATGTTTTATTAAAAAAAAAAATCGGTAATTTGTCCTTAATATAGTAAAAAATAAAATCCGCAGTGGTGAATAAATACCGCCAAAAGAAAGCTCTATCTGTCCCCAAAAAATGGTATAAAATTAATTTCAGTACAGCGTTGCATGATGGAATAAATGTCAAAGTACTGCAGCGCTGAATACTGAAAAATGGCCTGGACAGGAAGGGGGTTTAACACCACGGACATCAAGTGGTTAAGTGAGGCACCTAGGGCAAAGAACACAGGGGTGTGGTCTGACCACAAGCGAAGACCAATTCGAGCAGTGGGAGAATTTTCTAAGAGTGATTGAGAAATACAAAAGTAATCTAGTCTACTGAACGAGTTGTGAGCTGGCGAAAAATAGGTATAATCCCTATCGGAAGGGTGCAGGGCATGCCATACATCTATCAATCGGAGCTGGTGCAACAATTGTTTAAATTTGGAATGGGATAAAGGAGAGATAGAGTATTTACCAGAAGAGAAGTCCAGACTGGGAACCAAAGGCATATTGAAGTCTCCGCCCATAGTTAGGTTATGATGTCCGAAACTCTCCAGATCCGTGAGAAGAGATGCAAGGAAGCTCAGCTGGTTCTGGTTGGGAAAATAAACGCTAGCCAAGGTGTACTGGGTGTCAAATAGCCTAATTTTCAGGAAGAAATATCGACCGTGAGAGTCAGATTGTTGTTGCAGGATCTCAGGGTGACTGGATTTGTGTATCGCAATAGAGACACCTTTAGATTTAGAGGAGGAATTGGTGCTATGGAACCAAATGGTGTAATATTTGATCGGTAATTTAGGTAATTCATTATCTAAAATGAGTTTTCTGCAAAAACCGAATAACCAACTCTACGCTTGTGGAAATGGTATAATACTTGACTGCATTTTTGGGGTGTGTTAAAACCTCAAACAATCAAGGAGGCATAACACATTGTAGGTGACGCCATCACACGGGTAAAAATGGTGGGTCTCTGAAGGTCGTAAGCCTCCCAGGGTCAAAGAGAAAAAGGAAGAAAAGCCAAGAAGAGAAAGAACAGGCAGGAAGCAGTAAGAAGAGTACACACATAGAAAAGATAATGAGAGAACTGTAAGAGCTCCATCTAGTGGAGGAAGAAAATGAGTGCAGTATAGCAATCATTAGCACGGACCAGCAAATCTAACAGCAGTAACGATGTCAGTGAAAATCACACTGACGTCCTAAGTGTGGGAATGGTAGAAGACACATAAAGTGTCTCCCGTTTCAGGGTATGAATAAACCAGTACACAATGGTGTATAAGAAACTATTATAAAATAAAGCAGTACATATTTGTATAAAAGTGAACAAGAACAAAAAACAGCAGCAGCACGTGAAAAAGACACAGCTGTAATATAAAACCACAACATATTAATGGCAAACCAGGAGTAGGCAGCAAAAATCCCTCATGGAAACAGTAGGCTCATATAGCATATCCAATAGGAAGGTATGATACGGTAGTAGTAGTAGTAATGAAGAGGCCGTGAAAAATTTAGACTTTGTCACTTTAAGGGCTTTCTGACACCTCGCAACTTCCTATGCACTCTCTCATCTGAAATGTTCTAATGCTGGACTGTCAAAAATGTCCAGAGGTGGACTGAAGAGGGATACAAGGAAAAGGTCATCACAGTTTGTATATTTTGAGAATTTCTGTTTCTCCTTCCAACACTGCTGCCTACCAGTCTTCCAGTGTCTATCAGTCTACTAGTAAGTAAAGCTGTGATCACTGCTGGTAATTTGCAGAATTATGCAATTGAACACATCTAATGTGTGTTAAGCTCAATGACATAATCTTCTACTCTCCGTTGTCCGGTCTTTTGAAACTATGTAAACCTGCTGTGTTCACTTTTCAGCATAATTATTTAAATTATAAAATATTTCTTATTATTTTTTTCAGGTAATTTTAATTGTTGTCAGAATAAAACCTTTTGGGATGCTCCGTGCACATATTTTGCAATTCATATTTGTTCAGCATTGATCCTGTTCATGACTGATGGAATAGTGGTAAGACATATAACATTATATCATATTCTATAATAAAGCTAGATATTTGGCATGTCCTCCATAAATGACAAAATGAAGACATGACTGAAGAGCAGCAAAGATAATCATGTACTACAAAACTGCCCTGATGCTAGATAAGAACAATCAGTAACTGATATCAGTTTGTACAATGCGAGGTCGAGATTAAAGTTTTGATAGGTTTTTCTGTGGAAAGTTAAGCAAAGAAGTCACGCACAGGCTCCAAATGTAAAAATGTACTTGTAACAGTTACACTATCAGATACCACCGCTGCCACCAGAATGTGATTACAAACTCACCTTGCACAAAGATTTTCCAGCTCTCAGGACATCAATTTGAGCACCATGCAGTTGAGAGTGGTCTTCACTAGCACAGGGTAACTGAGCAGTTAACTTTTCACACACACTGTAGCAACCACCATGTGTTTAAACAGCCCTCATTACAAGTCTATTGCAGACCCTGCTAGTCGAGGTTAATAACACCTGCATTGTATCTAAATTCTCTGCTTTGTATCAAATGTGCCTTAGATCGTTTTCTTTTGTCACATGGATGGACCCTTACATGGATGCCTAGAAAAGACATGAGATTTAAATTTGACTGTTTTTGTTACTGTTTTGTAAATTGTGGAAAAAATTAGGGTGGCACAGAATTCAGTACAATTTTCCCATTCTCTCCACACAGTTTGGGTTTGTCTAGCCTCACCATCATCCCAGTACTCAGTACTGACAAATGTACATTTTAATAATAATACTACAAACAAAAGTCATCCCGTCTATTTATCTTTGATCTCTTGTTTTTTTTTTTAGCAAATACACATAATGTATAGTATGATCACAACAATTTAAATCTATGTCATAGTAATTTAAAGCCCTTGGCAAAACATGAACCCCCTCTAACTTATCTCTGGCATGAAAAATAATACTAAATAATACTTAATTTGTTTATTACATAAACTAAAGCGATGGTCATATGACACCCCAGTCCTGAATCTTCTCTCCACATCTGTTTACATGAGCCAGGGTCCTACTTTGAGTGTCCATGTCACTGCCTGCCTGATGGGCACACATCCCGCTGTCCTACTGGGGTTCCTCAGGATCCAGAAGAGAAATGACATCAGTGCAAGGAAACCTTCAGGGACTTTCCAGTGCGGGCACATTCACAGGGCTGTATTAGCAGTCCTCTGCACCCAGAAACCTGACCGGCAAGGGACCCAGGCGACTTAAAGAAGAACTTCAGGAAACAATTCCATTAACTTTTGCAGTGGGGCAACCCCCGCACTGCAAGGGTTAACTGCTCATTTGTATCTAGGTGCTAAAAAAAAAAAGTTATACTTACCAGATCATTCCAGCCAGATTGTTCTAAGACCGGGTCCCTAGAACCTCTTTCCCCCTTTTCTGCAACGGTCTAAGAATCCTCATGGCATCAAGCTGTACACAAGTGAATAGACGTGAGGACGCTGAGGAACATTCCTTCTTTGCAGAAGAGGAGGAGAGACACTTCAGTGACTGGAGAAGCAGGGATTCGGCTCAGCAGTTCAGGTGAGTATAATTTTTTTTTTACACAAGAAACAAACGAGCAGTTAACTCTTGCAATGAAGGTGTAGCCCCACTGCAAGGGTTAAGAAAACCTTTTTCTTGGAGTTCCTCTTTAAGTGAGCATAACAAATAGCTAATTTGTTATGCTATGTCTGTGACTAACCAAAAACCTCAACATTAGTGCAATAGGTGAACTCAGTCAATCATGGGAACATGTCCGTGTGGCCAGATAATAAAACCGACCAACCTTATATATGTTACTAAACCTTACTTCTTATGTCACCCAAAAATATGAGAAAAGTAATAAAAACAATTATCCATGTATCCATATATCAATTTTCTGTGCTCCTTAATGATAATAAATTGCCCTTACCAGAAATATGCAATGTTATATGGTGCTACAATCAAAACAAACACGTCTTGTTTTCATAGCTGTACGGCTCCCAGCTCCTCTCCTTTACATCTCCACTTTCCGAAAAAAATCCGTATCCAACACTACAATCTCCACTCCATGTACAAATCCATCCTCAATCTCTAAAGCTGGCCATACACCTTACAATTACTGCAGATTTTCTGTGGTCAGATGGAAAAGGTGCAACAGATTCCTCCATATACACTTAACTGTGTGGATGGAGTAATCTCCACCTGGGCCAATCTGTTGCACTTTTTCCATCTGACCACAGAAAATCTGCAGATAATTGTAAGGTGTATGGCCAGCTTTAGAGATTGAGGATGGATTTGTACATGGAGTGGAGATTGTAGTGTTGGATACGAATTTTTAATACTCCGAGAAGTTCCAGGGGAAGAATCAGAGAGCTCCTATAGTGTAGAACATTTAAAAAAGAATAGCTTTATTTAATTAAAATGCACTTACAAGAGGAATAGAAAGTAACAGCATAAAATTCCTTGTGGTATCACATACGTAGGAGACTGACATAGACTCCTCTCTTGTTTTCGTCGTAGGACTTTATCAAAAGGGTGTCTACCACGATGTCCCACGTAACTCCATTGAAACCCGATCCATCCAATTAGTTAAATCATGCATATCAATCCATACTAGTCAACCATATTAAAAGGTGTGTCTTTAAATCTACTATGCACGATGATTGAAAAACAAAAGACTATTATTCATATACAACCAACTAATAAAATGAGTATGGAGATACTATTATCAGACCCAACGAACTACCGTAGATTGGTTATTGAAATGTCCAATATCCGATACTTAATCAATATAAAAACTTTTCTAAAAATATTAGAGAGACAGGTGTATTATAGAAAACCGCGCGAACAGAACACTATCCCAATGTTTATATATACAACTCCAGAGTGAAATATACTGCTGATCACTGGCCAGTAAAACCACCTATCAAACTATAGGCTGTATCAAAATAAAAATAACTTGTTATTTTCAGGGGAATCGGGCTCCTCCTTCTTCGGGGCTTGAGGAACAATATATAATGAAATCAAGAGTTGTACTTTGTAGCCTAAACTAGTGCTGGATGAGTGCCATCATGACCTGTTTGCAGTGAACACTGACACTTTAGCCACAATACTATCATGGCTTATTGTAACATGGTGTTAAATATAGACTATAATTCTTGTCATATATTTTTTTTATGGATTACTGCACTTAAAAATGTACTCCATAGACCTGGGTCTACATCCAGCCATATACAGTACACCCCTCACATTTTTGTGACGACACAGAAGAAATTACACTTTGCTACAATGTAAAGTAGTGAGTGTACAGATTGTATATCAGTGTACATTTGCTGTCCCCTCAAAATAACTCAACACACAGCCATTAATGTCTAAACCGCTGGCAACAAAAGTGTGTACACCCCTAAGTGAAAATGTCCAAAGTGGGCCCAATTAGCCATTTTCCCTCCCCGGTGTCATGTGACTCGTTAGTGTTACAAGGTCTCAGGTTTGTTAAATTTGGTGTTATCGCTCTCGCTCTCTCATACTGGTCACTGGAAGTTCAACATGGCACCTCATGGCAAAGAACTCTCTGGGGATCTGAAAAAAAGAACTGTTGCTCTACATAAAGATCGCCTAGGCTATACGAAGATTGCCAAGTACTCACTTCTGTCAGATACTGTATATTGCCTTTAGGATGGCCACCTTTTTGATTTAGGCTTTTTGTTTTTTAAAGGTTTTTAAATATTTTGGGGATACTAGTACTTTACATATCATTGATACAAAATAAATTGATTTATATGAGAAATTAGTTTGAGGAGATTCTTTACTTTTGCTGCTTATATTCTTTGGTCTCCTTACCCTTTTAAAGGAGAACTATGGGGTCACAAACTAGTGTCCTCCCGTCACCCAAAGCTCATGTATATCGCAAGCTACATAAGTGTCGAGATCCACCCTGCTGCGTGGATCTCTAGAGGCAGAGCCAGCTGTACCCTCCCCCTCCCCGTCCGTTCCGCCAGTCAACGCTGGGGTATCGGACAGGGGTGGGGGGGAATCCTTGCAGGGAACCGTGAGTGACAGTCACGGCTCTCTGCAGGGATAGATTGAGAAGTGAGCGAGCGACGGTATGTGTTCGCTCACTTCCCAATGTATTGAGCCGACCTGTGACAGTTTCATTGTCACAGGTCGGCTAGAACTATGAGGCTGAGTGATTTTCACTCGCCTCATAGTTCTCCTTTAAAGCAACTTTCTTCTGCCTAAATCATATCTGTTTAACAACTTGCATTTTTCATTAACAGTATGAAAATTAATGCTTATTTTTATAAACTTCAGAAGACTGCATGAAATGCAATAAAATTAATTTGTAAATTTGTACTAGAGTCATACGCACATTTAAAAACATGATTGTATGCTTTATAGGGAGAATACTCTGGTTTTGTCTATAGTTATGCTGTGGAAGAACCACTGTTACTAGCTCACAAGACAGCAGGATATCTACCGAGCGTCCTCTGGGCTTCTGTCACTTTGGGAAGACTCATCTCCATTTCTGTGTCTTATACAATGGCTCCTCGGACTATGCTACTTATTAATATGGTAAGATGTTAAAATACAACCAAATGCATTCTGACTTCATACCCTTGGCCTATAAAACACTTAGGGGGTTATTCACTCGGCTGCCGAAGGCAGAATAACCGATCTGAAGTGAATGGAGCCAAACACCGGCTCGGTTATTCAGTTATATTCGGTTATCAGAGTTTGCGAGGAGCAGATTTAAAAAAAAATTAAACAAAACAACCTGGGGCCCCCTTCCTGATTCATACCAGACCCTATATGTCTGGTAGGAATGTTAGGAGGGACCCCCAATTAAAAAAAAAAGTGTGTGAGGTTCCCCCCAAAAGTCATACGAGGCCCTTTAAGTCTCGTAGGAATTTTAAGGGGGAACCCACCACCGAAAAATAGAAATAAAATGTGGGGTCCCCCCTAAAATTCACAACCAGACCCTTAATCCGGGCACTGGCTGGCAGGGCAGGAAAGAGGTCTGGACGAGTGAGCAACTCCCCCTTCCTGCGCCATACCAGGCCACATGCCCTCAGCATTGGGAGGGTGCTTTTCCAGGGAAAAGGGTTAACAAAAATGTAAATAAAGAGACAAGACTTTTAGAAAAAATCCTTTAATTGAAAACAAAAAACACAACAAAAGTCTTTGACAATTCCTTAATGTAAAAAAACCCCCAAAAATTATCCAACGAAGTAACCGTGGGTCAATCACATCATTCAGTGATGTCCATGCCACCGTGTCAAAATAAAAAAAGTCCCGATGCCCGCCGACCCGACCACACATGACGAACTCCCACTGAAAAATGAACAATCTGATGACGCAACTCTCCACTTAGGCCACTCTCCTTAGGTCATTTGAGGACAGTGACCTGTCATTGCATGACAACAAATGTGCAGAGCCAGCCGTGACATCACAGACACATACATTTTTTTACAGAAACACTCATTTTTTTAAAATGGACTCAGATCAAATGAGAAAAAAGTGCACTTGGTTTTGTTTTGTTACTTATTTTGTCTATACACTACATAAAAATTTCTATAATTTTAAAAAGACAATAACACAAAAATGTTTTATATGTATTACAAAGTTATGGCTAAATAAACAGACCAACAGCAGAAATGTAAAGCTTGCTCTAGTTCATAAGGAGTATACAGCTGTGAGAGCTGAACTGGTTAATTTACATTAGATGAGTAGGTAGAGGTTAATTATTCAATAAACTAATTAAGGAATAATAAAAAAAGATAAAACAAAAAGACTTTTCTCTCTAGAGTACTGCTGCAACATGTAATACTTTTTCCATTTTCTACACATTAAAGTAATAGTAAATATTAAATTGAATGAACTTATGCTGTATTTAAATATATTCCTTTATTAAAGGAATTCCTTCTAAAAAGGTACTCATTGACATCTGATATATTTATGTCTCCTCTGTAGATTGGTGTTTTAGGGGCATTTTTGTTCCTGATTTTGTCACAGAATAGCACCGCTGGACTTTTCATAGGAACAGCTTTTCTTGGTCTTTTTATCAGCAGTGTTTTCCCCAGCATGTTGGCCTACACAGAGAATATCCTAAACTACAAGGGTAAGAACTGTTGTCTTGGACAAATATGCTTGCACACCAGTAATTTATTTCTAATAAAAAATAATTTGTATACAGTAACACTAAAAGTCTTAAACTATATTATAGTCATCCTGAGGTTCCCGGAAAAAAAACAGAACTGTATTGTCACGAGACTTTGATGCATGTGTAAAAAAAACTGATGCTATGCAATATCTTTTAGATATTTTAAAGAAGGTCCCTTCTAATCCTATTGTATGTCATTGTATTGCAACTGTACAGTCTCCCCTTATTTTGTAAAATGCTGTGCAAACTGCTGGTGCTATATAAATCCTGTAACTGGGCAAGACACCCTGCTTTTCCATTTTTTACTTTTGAAGTTTTAGGCTATGCTAATAGCAATGGCACAGCTGGCCAAACTACAGCCGGAGAAGGACTTGTGAAAATTGGCTCACAATATGCTTAGAAGCAAGGCGCTTCTAAGCATATTGTGAGCCAATATTCACAAACGGCCGCAATGCCAAGCAGCAACGGGAAACGCAATAACAATCTGATAATAATAAGCTGATGAAACAATATTTTAATGCAGGGAACTGATTTGACTGTCCTTGGAGTTAGTTTTCGGTGGCAACATTTCACCAGGGCATGAGTTTTATTATTTTATGTAACTATGCACTGCAAGAAATGGTTATCAAACACTAGTCCTCACCTGCTTCTCCACAGCAACCAGTCACATACAGATCAAAATGATTTTTTAATTATAATCGTAAACCCGTGCTTAGTATAAAGCATAACTAAAATCAGCTTCACTTACCTTCTTTCTACTGCTGTGGATGTTTAAGAGCGCTCTTGAAACTGACATACTCTACCAGCAATCTTCTGGGTTGCGGTGTTAGGGCCACAACTAATGATTTTTTTCATAATCGATTAGTTGGCCGATTATTTTTTTAATTAATCAGTTAATCGGATAAAAAAAATTAATGAAATAACATCCTTAATTTAAAATAAAATACACAAATGCAGAGTTACAAACAAAGATTACTTCTGAATAAAACTGCATGCACAATTTTTTTGCAATCGCACTGCACTGGAATGCACGGTATCACGGTACCGTGCGTTCCACTGTAAGTGAGAGTCGCATTTGGGGGGCCACTGAAATGAATGACACTGCAATGCACTTCCCGGAGCAGAATTTGTCAGACTGAAACCGAAAATGACTTTCCCACCTTTTATAAAAAAAATCTTAATGATTGTATTGCACATGACACTTGAATAGCTTCAGCCAGGGTATGACAGCTGCCAGTGGCAAGATTCCTAAGACAGCAGCTGAATTTAAATACAGCAGGTAGTGGGCTGGTGCAATAGCCAGCCTGCAATTGGCCATTTCAAATTGCAATTGCCAATAGCAGGCTGGCTATTGCACCTGCCCTCTGTTCGCTGTGCCCTCCTCCCAGAATGGAGGAGAGAGCTAGGGGATCCAACCAACTAATCGATAATGAGAATAGTTGACAACTATTCTCATAATTGATTATTATCAATTGGTTGCAGCCCTGTGGGGTCCTCAGTCATCTTAATTGGCCAGCCTGGGATAACCTAGCTTCTGTACAGGAGTTAATTCATCCCACCACCAAAGAATGCAGAGATTGTATACTGAGCTGCGCATGCACGGCTCAGTGTATAAACTTTAGAAACTTGCTAGCAAAGACATATAGGCCTTTTCTGCAATAAAATCTTTCTAGGTGGTAATTTTAGTTTTGTCTGTAAATGATTTACACTTTAAGTAACTGAAGGTAACTGAAAATAAGGTCACCTAGCCCATCCCTTTCTCACCCTCCTGATGTAAACTGTTGGATTTAATTGCAGACCACAGATGCACATTTTGGGATCTTTAGTGCACTGGGAAGTGCTTCTGTTTTTCAGTGCCTCTTTTGCGGCATCCTGTATTTGTGGCTGGCCAGGCTGCCCTTGGATTATGGCTGCAGGAGAAATTATGTACTGCTAGATAAATATGCTGACTGCCCTGCATAGCCAAAAGGTCTTTTAGCCTGCATCAGAGATTGGTTAATCAATTTACAGTTTTTAAAGATAGAGAATTTTAACCTTGGTTAGCATTTAAAACCAACCTAGCATAAATTGGCAGCAGAAGTGTAAAACACCTAGATGTGCCAAAATACTGTTAGATACTTCCGTAATAGGCTGTTTATAGGATTTATAAAGAATTAATTATTGCTTGTAAATTTGGCCTGGGCATCTAGGCATCAATGTGTTAAAGCCTAGATTATAATTTTGCTGGTGCTTGATGTGTAAAAGATCATTTTTTCCTGATGGATGTTATAATCCTGGTAGTGGAAAGCATTACACTGGCAATTCACCACATTTTCCATCCTATGATGCTAGGGTCGTTTTGTATCCTAGCAGCAACATATATGTTTCATGTACATATTTGAAGAGTCCATAATGGCAGACTATAGTAAACCTGTGCAACTGTAATGTACTCAGCCACCTAAAGGTATAAAAATGTTCTATGCATCGCTACATGGTCCAATACTGTATTATGGATCCTGAGGTCACAAACCCTACTTTTCATATGTTTCAGTCTTTTAGAAATGCCTTTGGGCCACTGTATATATTTACTGCCACAAACCCCAACCAAATACAGATTTCTGTTTTTACCTGCAGGCTGTGCCACCACAGTTCTGGTAACCTCAGCTGGCATAGGTGAAATGGTTCTTCAGATACTAGTGGGAACGGTAAGAAACAACTAATTTTAAATATAATAGCAAATTAGAATATTATTGACATCACTATTGCCGAAATGTTATGAATAGGAAAAGCTTATGAGACCTTGCAAGAAATAATGACTGCAACCAACATCTACACACTGACTTCTATCAGCATAACCATTTTACTATTTTCCAATGCATCCTTACTATGTTGTGTTACAGAACTGAAAAAAGAGTGACTCCCAGTGGAAGCATTTTGTGACTGAAAACGATATTGTTTCTATCACACAATTTATAAACCTTGTTTACCAGCTTTTAATTCATTCTAACCTAGTACATGTTAAAACATTTTATAATTTTCTTTAAATCCATAAAACAGTTTACAAGCACTTTAACACTTGAAAAGCCCAGCTGTAGTCCAAAGTTTTTGTTTTGGACAGCACAGGGAAGGTATATAACCCCTTTCAGGATCCTATTGCTGTTTGATTGCCCTAGGGGAAGATTGCAACTCTCTTCCTCTCATGGCAAACACACAGAAAGTGAGGGTAATCACCCCATCATGGACATTAACAGCAATAAAAACATTACAGATGTTCTAACCCTTCCCTACAAAAAATAGTGCTTAAACTGTATCCATGTTGGATAACCATGTGTTCCCCTTGATGATGCTGGAGAAATTGAACCTCTCTGTTGTGACTTATCTAAGAGGGGATTGACTCACATTTGGAAAGATCTTTCACTTCTTGTTGTGTCTTTAAGACAGGAAGTGAAGGGAAATTCCCCAACAGGACAAATACAGCAATAAAAACATTTGCAGGGATTTAAAAAAAATCCCTATTGAAGACTCAAATAAATGTCAGCTTTGCAAATGATAAGACAGATCAGATCATCATGTGTTAGAGACCAGAGGTATATTGGTTAGCAAATAAGCAATAATGATTACAGTGTTGGCTAGGTTATCTGTAGCAATGGTAACTGTTGAAACTTTCAATGTAAATGATAAAAGGTCATATACCTGTATGACCAGGTTCCCAATATTGTCTGTTGCACTCACCCCAAAGGAGCTGCTTGATTTTTTGGGCCCTCCTAGCCTTTCTACTGGTGATTTGGCCTGTAGCACTCACCCAGATACTCACTAACAGCAGCCAACAGACAGATTTCCACTCCTTAATCTTTTCACAAAATTTCTTGACTCAAACATCTAGGGTATGGAAGGTTGGTGTACAGTATACCCCAAAACAGCTCAGCAAAGTATCTTCTAGTATCTTTAACCTCTGCCACAGGCTAATGCAGGTTAGGTAGGCTACCAGTAATTATCTTCAGCCACTCTCACAGGTTAGTTGTGTCCCTATAACTCAAGATCAGCAACCCACTAAGCAGAATACCTTAAAGAGCTGAGGCTAAATTAAAAAAGTACTCTAATTTCGGAGAGTTCGGTATCCTGTTTAACAAGTAAGGAAGATTTACTGAGGAAAGGCAAACAATGGGTTACAAACTGCATGTGAAGTTCCAGATGAAATCCAACGACAAACAAGGAATTGTGATTACATATTTGTAGAATGTGCTCTGCTTTGAATTACCTTAAATTACTGATGAACAACTGAATCTCAAATAAGTATTGGGTTTATTCACAAATAGGGATATACATACATTCGAATTACAATCCAGGGAAAAGGAGAGGGGATTTGGAGGGGATCAGCAGGGATAGGAATTGAGGTTAGGATCCTTCAGCTAGCAACAACATTATCTCTCTCATTCACACATGCCATGGGTTTTTCTCTGTGCTCAGAAATCTCATCTCCAGCAGCAAATCACATTCTTGATTGTAGAGTCCAGAAAGACTTTGTCTTGTCCAAGAGGACACCGAGGTTATCATTGTTCCTGCTTGTGAGCTAGGTTTGTGCAGATGATTACACAGGAAAAAGGTTCCATCATATGTCCCGGCCTCCATCCCAACAAGTATGCTGCATTGCTCACACAGGTGTGGGCAGTAAATATCAGCAGGGGGTCGGGCTCGTCCTAGGAGATAAGACAGTCCGGCAGATCTTCATTCATCAGTGTCCCTGTCCCAAGAAACCTTTGATGGTCCTCATTTGCGTATCACACAGGCACATGCTGATTCAGTTCAGGATATTAAGGAACACCTTTATATCAAAGCTTTTGCATAGATATTAATTTTATCGGTTCCAACAATATTATCCAAGGAACAAAGGATAAATATCACTAGGCTAAACAGTCACAGGTACTCTATGATGCTACCTTACATGACACTATCAAGAATGTCACTTAATATCACTAACATCACTAGCTCACTAAATAGTATTTAGTCACATCACTTTACATTGCAAGTCTAATACAGGCGTTATGTTTCTCTAGTTGCAGACGTGATATCCAATGCTTCACCTGCCAGAAAATAGCAAGGCAGCAGAAACTTCTGAAGCCCCATTCTTGTAGGAATGACAATGCAAGACATACATTTTAGGCAATAGCATCTCCATTTATTTTGTAAAAGTCCATACCTGTCTGGAACCTAGTCACCACCTGGTGGCAAACATGCATATAATCTTTATCATAAAGCCCTTTAATGCAAGCTTTGTAGATTTTGTAGAAATGGTGTAGCAGATATAGTTAGTGGCTTGAGCATGATGACCCATCCTTGGAAAAGAGCACACATTAGCTACAAATTATGTACACAGATGGAATGTGAAAGTCACATCCACACAAAATTTCACCTAATCACATACTAAGGTGACCAAGGGCTCTCCATAAACTTGTTACAAACAGTTAGCAGTTCTTACTACTGGCAACCCAGGAGTAAAATCCAGCAGTTTTCCCATCTAAAGATACATAACAGTACCACTGGCTCAGGAGACAGAAGAAGCCTATCCAAGAAACATGGTAGCACTACTGGCATAGAGGCAGAAGGCATTTTCTCTTTCAGCAGCAACAAAATGACTTGATAGTAGCTGTCTGGCCTACCTAACCTGCGCTGGCCTGTGGCAGAAGTTAATGCTACTAGAAGATATTACTGAGGGGAGGGAATTTTTGCTGCTTTTGGGTATCCTGTACCCAAAAGCAGCCCAGAAAACTGTTGACTTGTTAGACTCTTATGGAGAGCTAAAAAACTAACATGTGCTGTTCTTCAGATATGAAAATGTGTCTATGCAGGGCAAAAGCAGTAAGTCCACTGTAATGAGCACCCCACCAGAACATTTGTATTACCCTAATCCCCAGCCACCAGCAGCAAAGAGAATTACCTGGTAGTTTCGGGTATGGGGGAGTGTGTGGCTTATCCCCCTTTTTCTCATGTGACAGCAATACTGCTTGGCTGCTTATCTACGCATTGCTGACAGACGTAAGGGAGAGTGTGCAAAGTCCATTGTATGCTGTGCAACCTATAAGCAGTGGGGGAGTAGGGGGGAAGGTAAATCTAAGCTGCTGGTGGAGCTGGTATGAAAGTGAACCTGTTGCTTTGCGCTGCATGGGTAATTTTTTGGTTGTGTAAATTCGTACTACATCAACTCAATATCATACATTTATTTATTATTTAATACAGATAATTGAAACTAAGGGAAGTTACAGTTTCTTAGTTTGTGGGGTCAGCCTCTCCACATTGGCCTTTACTCTGTATATTGTGCTGGTAGTGCTTGATAACATGCATACAAGGGAGTCAAAAGGTAAGGACACCAGTTTGTACATCAATAAGGTATGGCAGTTTCTTGCATTGTTTTTATATACAAATCCCTAACAAAGTAGATTCATGGCAGCATCTGTGTATCGGTCTTTGATGTGGGAAACCAGGAGTACCAGGAAACTATCATTTTAATTATGTTTTATGTTTTTAACCATGTAAGTAATGTCCTAGTTAACTGTTTACTTGTTAGAAACTTTGCACTATTGACAAGATTTGGACTGTTTTATGAAAGCAGCCATTCATTTACAGCAACCTGATGCTTTAAACTACATGTGGAAATAACATCAGAGTTTCTGCTTCATGTAGATATAGGTAATTTTACCTATAAAGTTCAAAATGAGGCACTCGGAATTATCTGACCTCAAAAGCAGTATGGATATTAAGTGTGACTTCAGTATTCAATTATTACAGGTATTTATATAGGACCGCCCATATACACAGTGCTTCACATATTGTGCATTTACATCAGTCCCTATCAAGGAGCTCACAATCTAAGGTCCCTATCTCACATGCATACTTACAGACACTAGGGCCACTTTACACAGGAGCCAACTGACATACTAGCATGTCTTTGGGGTGTGGGAGGAAACCGGAGTACCCGGAGGAAACCGGAGTGCCCGGAGGAAACCCACACAAGCACAGGAAGAACATGCAAATGCCATGCAAATAGTCTCCTGGTTGGGACTCAAGCTGAGGACACTAGTGCTGTAAGGCAGAAGTGCCAACAACTAAATCATTGTGCATGTTTAGTCTTGTTTTTATATAATTTACTAAGCTCTAAGGATCATTACATGTCAGAATGATAATTGTTTTAAGCACTGAGGGCGAATGAGTGCTGAAAATAACTGTTGTAATGCATTATACATTAGCTTAGTAATTCAACCATATTAATGTATCTGTGCATGTAAAAACAATATTCTAAAATAGAAAATATAGTAAAGATAACTTATTTAGGTTGGCAAGGATATTGCTCTCTTTTTTCACCCTTGTGTACACACCCAGTGCCCGCAGAAGTAGTAAATATATTGAAATATCTCTTTTGGGGCAACTGAGTTTGGCATATAACGTCTAGAAGAGTGTTGTAGGACCAGTTAGCACACTTTCTTAAATAGAAACTAACGGTTTTGTCTCTGTTTTATTTATTAATTTGTTTAGGTTTATAAGTTTAATGTATATCTATTACTTATATAATTTACAAATACATTAAAAAAAAAAAAAAAAAGATTCCCAGTGCCCCTAATTTTGCTC